TAGAAGTGGCACTGCCTTTTCTGCATGGGAGAATGCATCCTCTTGCTACAAGACAAAAATAAAAACTTTTCTAATTCAGAGATGTCACCATGAAGCTTGAGGAAATCGTTAGTGGAAGCCCTGAGACTTCAGGAAACCAGCTCTTCGCCTCCATCTGCACCTGCTCCTGAGGTAAACCCAGCGCTCTGTGGGGCCTGAGCGCCCCCTGGAGTCTATGAAGAGGATGTGTGGAATGAGACATGAAGAGAATCAACTGGATTTCACATTCCAGGATGTTAATTACACCCGCGAGAGCAGTTTGTAGAGTTGCATGCATAGAGGAAAACGTAGAAGACATTAAAAAGAGAAAGGAACTTGAAGATTCAGGAGTGCTACAGTGTTGTCAACCCCTTCAGTTCTTCTGTGAAGAGTAATGATTTGTTACACATGAATGGGAGATGCGATTTTTAAAGAAATTTCTCCATTGAGCTTTCTAATAAAACCAATCAAAAGGTGTGATGGAACAGAATGGTGGAGGAGATGGTGCCCCCGGGTGTCTCTCTGAACCACGCAGGTGGTGACCCTGGAGGCTTTTCCAGCTTCCTTTCCATCCACCAAAGACTTTGGTCTGGGGAAAGCTCACGTTTAAGTCAGTGATTTACTCTGTGAACAAGTGAGGAACAGGAGGGTACAGAATATGAGAGTAACTTGCAACATCCACAATTTCCTTATTGATTAAAAAAATGGCAATACCTCTGGTTAAATTCATATTTGAACTGGTGTGGTGAAGTTTTTATTTATACAATTGAGTGATACTCTTAGATAGTGTTAGTGAATATAAAGAAAATGCAAAACATTCTTATTTTTTAATGTGTGTAGTAAAAGTTTTACTTATTTCAAATACCTGTGTCTGCCTTTTGCTCCACTCATTAGGTGGGATATTTAGCTCATTTGCCCTCTGTATATTTTAAAAATTTTCCCCTAAACATATTTACATCTGTACATAACTCCCTCAGTGTTTTTTCGGGTGTATAGTGTAAGTTTGGCACTAACAGAAATTTAACTCTTTATCGGGGCTCTGGCCATGGGGGCAGTGGGGACACTGGAGGTGAGCAGATTCCCCAGCCTGCTCTCTGCTGATGTCTGACTGTGTGATTGTCAGGATGTCTTCTGGTATTAGGTGTGTGAGTTGTTAGAAGTGCCTTGGGGTCAGCAGCCAGCTGAGTCCACACATGATGCAGGCGTGTGTCTCAGTAGAGTCTGTAAGACTTGGAATTACATGAGTGCAGGACCCATGGGCTCAGCAGGGCAGTTGAGGTGAGCTTCAGGCCACCCACGTTTACGCTGCTCTGGGTGTCCATTTATGGATGGATGCATGAGATGGAGATTAGGGGATGAAGGGGGGTTGGGTGCTTCACAGTGGCTCCATCTGTGCCTGGCACTGGAGGGAGAGCTGGGAGGAAGCGAGTGGGCATGGAATGCCTTGGAGCTCAGAGTCTAGGACAGCTTTGGTGATAATTGTAACAGTAGAATGCAGAGGGCAATATCTGGGTGGGATTATGGGGGACACTGTAAGGACATCAGAGGTTGGGCAGGGATCAGGCCTCTGTCCAGCTGCTTCTCATTCTCCAGGCAGATTCTCCCTGTGGAAGCTGAGAGATAAGTCTTAGAACACGGCACCCAGGGCTGCTTTCAGGGGTTGTTTCAGCGCATGAGCCAGCCAGGCTCGAATGAGTTCTCATCTCCTTGCTTACCATCCCGCCTGCTTCATAGAGAAAGCTGAGAGCTGTGTCCAGCCCTTGGGTGGGCTGCTTTTCCACCCATGAAGCTGAGAGAACTACAGGAGTGGAATCCCTGAGCATCAACATCCACCAAAGTGCATGAGAAGTGAGAGGTTGAACTATAGCAGGTAGGACAGGGAGCCCCTGGGGCAGAGGTCCAGGGGCATGATCATGACCAGATGGGGGCTCTGTGCCTCTCTGAGGGAAGAGGCCCCTGCAGAAGCAGTGTGTGTTTAGAATGTGCTGGTCTTTAGAGAAAATCTTTCCCAATCAAGGGACAAAGAGCCTCCTCAGGATTGTCTGTTTGCCAAGAAGGAAACCAGTTGAAGGAAATATCCCGAGTGACTGGTCACATTTCATCTGTAAAAAAAGAAAGGTTACTTCCTGCTTTGTCACCTGCAGTGGGAATTTGAGAAATTAGAGCCACAAGGAACAAAGCAACATTTGTCCCTGAAGGACTCTTGGAGTTAGCAGCAAAGGGAACTAGTGATCCCAACATTAATTCTCCCCCCATTCCTGCTCTGCACCTGCCCCTGGGTTTGGACCCTGAGGTCCACCTGCAGCCCAGTCCCACGTGACTCCCTGCAGGGAGGTTTGCATTTGGGCTCACACTGACTTCCCCTCACTGTGTCTCTCACACAGTGATGCTCAGCCATGTCCTCGGCTCTCAGACTCTCCATTTGCAGATACAACATGATCTTGCAGTTGTCTCTGGAGATGACTAATTGGCCCAATTCAGGGGGTGTGGCCAATAGTTTCACTGGATTATAGGGCCTTCGAAGGAACATGATTGGATGATTGATAACAAAGACATTTGGGGAAGAGATATTTGGATAGATCTCTGAATAGTTGGAAAACGTGAGGATATGGCTGTCCCATGAGAATGCTTATTAAAGGGTGACCTCAGGACAAGAGTATTTTATTAATCAAGAGAGTAGGATGGCCAGGTCTGTGGAATAGCGGTCAGCCTCTTTCTCTTGCCATCACTGTCCTTGACAAAGGGCTCATGAACAAAGTGGCCATGGTGGTGGGAATGGAGGTTTCACATGGGCTCAGCAACATGGACCGCCATGCATCTAGTCGTACCTACATATAGCCTTTCCTGAGTGTCCAGTCTGCCAGCAACAGAGACCAATACGAGCCCCTGATCTGTCACCATTCCTTGGGTGTCTGGTTGCAGGTTGATTACATTGGACTATGTCCATCATGGAAGGCATAGTGTTCGCTCTGTACTGGAATAGATACTTCCTATGGATGTGGATACGCATTCCCTGTTTGCAATGCTTTTGATGAAACATTATCCCTGAACATAAGGAATGCATTTTCAACCCTATTGTATATGTAATGTGCATATATCAAGGAACCACCTTCAGAGAAGAGGAAGTATTTCAATGGTCCCATAGCCATGGTGCTCATGGGTCTCACCCTGTTCCCCAACATCCTGAAGCAGTTGGCTTGATGGAACTTTGGAATGGCCCTTTGGAGACTCTGTTACAGTGCCAACTGGGTGGGAAAACCTTGTATGGGTGAGGCAAGGTTCTCCAGAGTCTGCAGATGCTATAAGACAGTGTCTGCCTTATATGTCCAATGTGTGACATTCTTTCTCCCATAGTCAGGATGCACAAGCCAAGGAATCAAGGGGAGGAAATGGGAGTGGATTCACTTGACATTACCTCTAGTGGACATCTAGTGAAATTCTCCTTACTGTCTCTGCAGTCATTAGTTCTGCTTCTCTAGAGGCTTCAGTTCCAAAGGGAGCGATGTTTCCCTGTGGACACCCAATGATAACTCCATGTTCCTGGAAGTTAAGATTGCAGATCCATGTTGGAGGAGCACATGGCATTGTGGTGCTTTGGAAACAAAGGGTATTCTCCCCTCTTCTGGAACACACAACAGTCATGGCCAACAGGGTAAGAAGCTTTTATTTATTTATTTATTTGAGGAAGATTAGCCCTGAGTTAACTACTGCCAGTCCACCTCTTTTTGCTGAGGAAGACTGGCCCTGAGCTAACATCCATGCCCATCTTCCTCTACTTTATATGTGGGACGCCTACCACAGCACGGCGTGCCAAGCGGTGCCATGTCCACACCTGGCATCTGAACCGACAAACCCTGGGCCGATGAGAAGTAGAACGTGAGGCCTTTAACTGCTGAGCCACCAGATCAGCCCCTAAGAAGCTTTTAGATGCATGTTCACTTCCTAGAGATTTGGCTAATGTACAAGACAACACCTATGCAAGAAGAGACTATGTGGAAGCTAAAGAAAATGCTGCAGGAGATCATGAGCCCAAAAATGCAGGCTTCACATGGATATAACACCAACTACACCTGCAGGTGGTAAATCTCTAGAGGGAGTCACAGAAGCCACTATCAAATACAAATGTTTAGCTCCTGCTTTTAAATTAAAAGTATGAAAGAACCTTGATGTGCACTTCACTCAGATGGCTGCTTCATGGCCCCAGATGAGTTCAAATGGATGTTACCTACATTTCTGCATGAAACTACGCATTAGTGTGGGCTAAATGATTATTATCTCAAATCATTATTTTGGGAAAACATTAAAGGCAGCTGAGGTTATTGTCATGTACTGTGTGACCTGTCAGCTCTGTAATCCTAGTAGAACAGTAAATACAGCCTTGGAAGGAAACAGCTCAAGGATGCTTGAGCATGATCACAGGTGCTCCACCTTGTACCACCATCCTTGGTGTTTGGATGTGCACTATTCACTGAGCATCTACAGTCAAGGTGACTTCAGGCATTTCCATATCAAAAAGCTACAGCCCTACAGTTGCTACAAAGCTGCTTGAATGTATGTATGTCTCCAACCTGGGGCATTCTAAATTTTACACGAAATGACAGAGACAGACTCCTCATAGGAATCACCATAAAACAACTCTGAAAGATATAAGCTATTACTCAAATACTACACCATCCTTCCCTCCCCAATTTGCCTGGAAATGTCGAAACAACCAGTGACATCCTTAAACTAAAATTAGCAAAATTTCCGGATCCTTTGAGTTCCCCTTGCCAAAGGTGCACCCACTACACTGTGGCATTACAGTCTGTCCTGCAAGGACACGTCTATCATTGCCCTGTGACTTAGCAAATGTAAGGCCATGTGTTTAGGGATCTGTCTCTGACACTAGAGTCTCCTGTGTTGCCTGCAGACATGGTGAATATTGTAAGTGAATAGCATTAGGATTCTACGGATTAACAGAACAAATGCAATGTGTGTGTGTGTGTGTGTGTAAACAGATTTATTTTAAGGAATTGGCTTACATGACTCAAGAGATTATGGAATCTGGCAAGTCCTGGATCTTGAGGATGAGTGGTAAACCAGAGACCCAACAGAGCTGATGGCGTGGTTCTAGTCCAGAGACCAGCAGGCATCAGCCCCTGGAAGAACCAGCGTTTCAGTGGGCGTCTGACGACAGGAAAAAAAAAAAAGAAAACAATGCCCCAGTTTGAAGGCTGTCAGGCAGGAAGTACCCTCTCTTAGGTCGGGGAAGGTCACCACTTTGTTCTATTTAGGCCTCAACTAATTGGAAGAGACCCACTTACTTTATGAAGGACAATCTGCTTTTCTCATATATTGAGTTACATGTTAATCTCATCCAAAGACACCCTCCCGGACACACCCAGACTAATGAGTGACCTATTCTGTGGGCATCCCACGACCCAGTCAAGTTGGCACATAATTTTGCCCATCACATGAGCCATGCAGTACACCCTCTCTTACCGAAAACAGATTCAGGCTGCCTTCTCTCATTGTACTGAACAGTCTCTTCATGATCTACAGCCAGCATGTTTCTCTGAAAGAAACATAAAAGAAAAAATGATTATGAACCTCATTGAAGAGACATTATCATGTGTGTTAACAACAAAGGCAGCAGTGAAAGTCCAGAGTCAGCACCTGGGTTCACAGCTTACAACTGAAGAGGCAACTCAGAATTCCACTCCTCTGGCAGCCTCCTCCATACTGGACCTCTAACTCAGGATTCTCAGGGATCCTCTAGAAGGAAGCGTTCTATGGAAGCAGACAGTTGGCCCACAACCTTTGGAACAAGCAAAGAAACTCAAATAGTGAATAACCTCTCCCCATATGTCACTCCAAGAACTCTCAGTAATCGCTTTATTATTATGCAGAAATGAACATGGTCTTGTCCTCTTGCTGTGTGTGTGGCATCATCAGACCCAACATCCGAACCTGCTTTGACTGGGAGCCTCTCCTGCCTTTGCAGAGAGGCCACATGAATGATGTTATGCATAGGGTGCTGGGACAATGACAACCATCACCTGGGGTCTTTATTCTTTTGACTTGGATAGACCACTGCTCTGCTAGCTGAGGGCACATGTGCACTTGAGCTGCTGTCTGCTGCTACCTTGTACTTGGAATTGTGCTGTTCTGTGCTGCACTGTAGTGTCTACAGGCCTCTCCTGTAGAGTCAGCCAACCTAGGTATGAAGTTTCCATAATAAATTAGCATGAAGAGACAGGGTATGAGGGCATGTCCCTCATCAAAGTGGCACATGGTTGTGAGTGTCAGCCCAAATGTATAGTTATGTCATAGAACAAATTGTGTGTGTTGACTCCAGTCTAATCTGTGGCTGACACTGGGTTTAGGAAATTACTCCTACGCTTTGATGGTTGGTTACATGTCTTAACCAGGCATCCTCTCCTCCCCATGTTGTGCAGAGTGCTTGAAGGAACGACGATGCCCTGGGCCCTGTGTCACTTAGGTGACCTCAGAGCAGCAGGTTTTGGTTTCTGATGTCCACATGTCTATGGACAGGTGTCAATAATATCCTTCAAAATGCCCTTGATGCTGCTGCCTGTGCCTCTGTCACCATAAGAGATCCTGACGCTCAGGGATGTGGACAAACCCCCTCAGATCCCCTGTGGGGCAGCCAAGGGCATAACTCAACTACTTATATGGTGGAGATGCCTAACTGATATTGATTCTAGTTTACTTGGATTATGAGATTTATAAATAACTGCAATGTAGAGAGGGCATTCTGGCATTATATCCAGTAACTACCTAGAAGAAAAATAAAAAAAGAAAGAAAGAATACTGGATACTGTGGTGGGATAATAACGATAATGATAATAATAAAACACTGAACAGAAATCCACAATTTGACAGAATTTTAAATCCTAAAGTTACTAAAAGAGTTTATACCATAAAGATAAGACGGTGCTTATTGGCTTTGAGCCTCTTCTACACAAGTGCTGAAATGACATAAACATTGCTGAAATGTACCAATTGACAAACCTTCAAGGTTTTAATCAACAATGAGGTGCAAACCACAGTTATTTCTGGGGATCCCACAAAACCTAAGCAATGTGCTCCCTATGCCCTTAGGGAAGTTTCCAGATCTAAAATGGAAATAAGCAGGTGTGCTTCCCCTTAGCTAATAGGGCTTGCCTAAATCCTGCATGTTGCTTTCACTCATTGACTTAAAATATTCCATAATCAGCATGGCTGTTCCAAACTCAAGAGTAATGCCTTTAATTAATTTTTCTTTTTTCTAAAGATTGGCACCTGAGCTGACAACTGTTGCCAATCTTTTTTTTTTCCTGCTTTTTTCTCCCCAAATCGTGTAGTACATGGTTGTATATTTTAGTTGTGGGTCCTTCTAGTTGTCACATGTGGGACGCCGCCTCAATGTGGCCTAATGAGCAGTGCCATGTCCATGCCCAGGATCCGAACCTATCAAACCCTGGGCTGCCGAAGCGGAGCACGCCAACTTAACCACTCGGCTGGCCCCTAATTAAGTTTTCTTTGCATTTACATATTGACTTGACAAAAGAGGGACCTTGGACCATACTGCATTGTAAATAGTTAATTCAGCCAAATGTAAATTGAAAAAGGCCTTCAAGGATTGACATGAATTTTACAATAACTGTTTTCAAAATGTGTGATTATCCCACTGCTTCTCCAGGTCACCGCCCAACTGAGGCTGTTCTTAAATGAGGGAAGATCGAGTGGTATCTCATTCACTCTTACTTCAACCTACTATGGTGGCCCTATAGAGTGAGTCCCCACATCCAATTGTGTTGAAATATTGACCCTACTAAGTTAACAAATGTCGAATATTTTACCATTATAGACTTAGTTGTTATATTCTGTCCCATGCCCCGTCAATATCCTCTCGACCTCGTTTTAACAAAGTTATTGAACAGGAGCCCATCTCTATCATTGTATGTAAAATATAAACCCCCCTGAGCCAGCTGAAATTACACTATTAGCTTGAACAATTGTCATGATAAAATTGACATGTTGCTACCGTTAACAATTAATATTAAGTGTTGTGAAGATCAAGTTCCATGTTGGTTTACATTCACCTTCTTATGTTTGTGCCTTCTCATGATGAATAGATACAATCACATTTTTCAGGTTGTTATTTATTTTGAGGAAGATTACCTGAGAGCTTAAATTTGCCACTGATCCTCCTATTTTTGCTGAGGAAGATTGGCCCTGAGGTAACATCTGTACGCATCTTTCTCTGTTTTATATGTGGGATACCTGCCACAGCATGATTTGCTAAGTGGTGTGTAGGTTCATGCCTGGGATCCAAACTGGTGAAACCCAGGCCATAGAAGGGGAGCACGTCCACTTAATTGCTACAACTCCAGGCCGGCCTCTATGTTGCTAAATTTTTAAGTTATTGCAGATGTATTGTTCTATGAAGAGGACAGTTTCTCTAACAGGCCCTGCCAGTGGCAGCTGCCCCACAAGGTAGCCTTCTCCGCCTCCTTCTGCTCTACTGGTGATCATGGCTGGGTCGTAGAACAGCCTTTTCTTCCTCTCATAACAAGTTCTCCTGCGAGAAGTGAGGCTGACTTCTGAACTAGCTCCTTTAGGGAGAGTGCTCACCACATCAGGTCAAGTGTGTTCTCCATTGTTCTTGGGTAGACTGTGGAGCCTGTGCACAAGGCCTTGAGAATCAGCCACCAGAGTCCTGCTACCCATCAGGCAGGACAGTGACCTTCTCTGTCACAATGTCCATGTTACTCATCCACACACCAAGTGCTCATCATCCTGGAGTCACCCCAGAACCACACAGCATCCTACACACTGATGAGTCTACATAATGAGAGCTCACCAAGACCTGCTGGCATTTTCATGGGTTTTGTAGAAACAAAACTTTTTAAATCTGAATAAAGAAAATTTATGGGAAGAAGAAAAGATTGCACGAAGCAAAACAGAATCACAACCCCTGGTGGTTCCATATTGAAGTTTGGCCCTAAGTTGTCCTCTTCAGTCCGTCCTAACCTGTGATACTCAATGAGGCAGCATCAACCATGACTCTGGCTCTGAGGCCATCACTTCTGCAGAGCTGATAGAAGACAGCAGAGCTACACACACAGTTAATCCAGGATTTCCTCATTGAAATGAGGACACATGTGTGTCTCCAGTCAGACGTGGGAGTTCCCAAAGAATGGAAATCTCTCCATGAGGTGAATTATTTCCCTAATTTTCCACCCAAATCCCACATGACTGAGGGATAAAAATCTGGAAGAAATATTTTATAAAGCACGTGTGGTTTAGACCCAAATCTGTGTTCCTGCCTCATAGTGATGGCATAATACATAAAATGAGTGATTTTCTCATAAAGGATGGAGGGAATTCATATGAGAGGAGAGTCAGGGAGAGCAGTGGAGGGAGGGCCAGGGCTCTTGGACAAAGGGTCATCTGGGGAAGTCATTTCAGGCAGCAGTGGGTCAGCTCCAGAGAGTTTTGTCATCCTGTTGGAGCCACAAGGACACTATCAACAGACAGCTGGACGTCATCCCAGAGAGCTCACAGCATGCAGGGTGTCCATCCTCAGCTCTCCAAACCACATGTGAGGGCGGTGGCACGGTACCAGTTGGAGCAGAAACAGATCAATTATGCAGCCTCGTTCCATGTGGACAATCATTACATCCAAGCCACTGATGTGAGCTGGCATTTCCTAGACGAGTCCATGCGCAGAGGGCAGTGGGAGGGTGCAGGTCAATGCAGACTGAGAATGTCTCTTTAGCCGTTCCCAGGTGCTGCAGGAGCCACAGTCCAAGCCACACCTGAGCTCCAGGTAAAAAGTCTGCATCTGGAATTTAGAACACAGAAAGCGCATCCTCCATTTTGGGAGCAGGAGTTGCAAGGTGCGATGTGAGAACAACGCCCAGGGAGGAAGAGAATGGATTAGCAGAAAAGGAGGGAACCAGAGCAGTTTTGAGTCTGACGTGCACAGCCTCACATGAGGAGCAGGGTCAGATAGCAAATATATTAGGTTTTACAGGTCAGTGAACCTGGCCCTGGGTCTCTCTTGTCTGGAACTTGAAACCCACACCATTCTTTTTTTCCCCTCTTCTCCCCAAAGCCCCCCGGTACCTAGTTGTATATTCGAGTTGTGAGTGCCTCTGGTTGTGCTATATGGGATGCCACCTCATCATGGCCTGATGAGTGAGGCCATGCCCGTGCCCAGGATCTGAACCAACAAAACCCTCAGCTGCTGATGCAGAGCACGCAAAGTTAACCACTCGGTCACGCGGCCTGCCCCCAAGACCATTCTATTCAGAGAATCCCAGCGAGGTCTCTGTTCTGAGTCATAAAGGAAAAGAATGAACTTGTTCCCTTTTGTTCCCTTGAGGTTTCTCGGGACTCTGATCCTGGTGACCACAGACAGAGTCGTTTCTGTCCCCATAGGTGACAGTCTACATTTAAGAAGATGATCGGTTTTTCTCATATTGTAGCAAACCTTTCTAATTGAGAGAAAGTAGTAAACACAGAAAAAGGAATCCAGTGAGGTTGTCTGAGAAACTGTTAGAAGAGGAAGCCCCAGACCCTGACAGGGAACCCCCATGAACATTGTCTGCAGCTGCTCCTCAGGATGATTCTGAGCCTGGTGGTCCTGAGTCTCCGCTGCAGCCCAGCCTCTCCCGTCTCCCTGCAGGGAAACTGATGCCTGGGCTCACACTGGCCGTCATTGTGCTCACATGAGCTTCTCCTGTAAGTGGAGTCACTCTCCCAGTTCCCACACCTGAACCAAAACTAAAAACCTGAGCAAGCCTCCTTTCCTGGCTCTATCAGAGCATTTCTGACTTGATGAAAGGCATGTCTGCTTTTCCCAGAGTTTGCAATCTTGTACGTAATAGATGTTTCACATTCCCTCAGTGTGTCTGTCTCATCAGACTGGACCTCCATACCAAGCCCTGGTGTAGGCTCCCACTGCCCTTGAATGGTGTCATCTCCTGTTGGTGCCAGGAGCATGACGTCAGGTCAATGAGCACCACCACGGCCTTTCTTCTCTGCCTTTGGATTCATAATGCCTCTCTAGTCTGATGTCCAGCCTGAACTTTACTCTGCCCCTTGCTGGCTGGCTTGTGCACTGAGCTGTGCTGTGCAGAGCTGCATTGTCGAGTCCAGCAGAGCATCTTTTATTGACTTAGCTGAATTACATCAGAAGCTTCCATAATAAATCAGCATATAGGCAGAAGAATGTAAGACACTCTCTGCCTTTTTCCATGTGAGGATGTTTCTCATCTATTACAACACAATTTTCTACTTCATAAAATAAGGAGCTAAGCACAGAATCACAAATCCAGTTAGCTTGTCCTGAGGAAACTGTTACATGAAAAGGAAGCCATGACAGGAAACCAGCCCTTCACCTCCATCTGCACCTGCCTCTGTGATGGTCCTTGAGTGCAGGGGCCCTGTGTATCCCCTGGTGGCCCTGAGCCCCTCCTGCAGGGAGGTTTGTGTCTGGGCTCACACTGATTTCTCCTCACTGTGTTTCCTGCACAGTAATACAAGGCCGTGTCCTCGTCTCTGAGGCTGTTCATTTGCAGACACAGCGTGTTCTTGGCGTTGTCTCTGGAGATGGGGAATCGGCCCTTCACGGAGTCGGCGTAGTGTGTGCCACCACCATCACTGTTAATACCTGCGACCCCTTCCCTGGAGCCTGGCGGACCCAGCTCATGCCACAGCTGCTGAAGGTGAATCCAGAGGCTGCACAGGAGAGTCTCAGAGACACCCCCAGGCTTCACCAGGCCTCCTCCAGACTCCACCAGCTGCACCTCACACTGGACACCTGCAAACACAAAGATAACCTGGTCAGAAACCTGTCACACATCCACTTACTCGCTCAATCATGTCCTCTCACATAGTCAATGTCTCTTAATTCCCACAAATTACCTCTTAAAAGAGCAACAAGGAAAACCCAGCTCAGCCCAAACTCTATGATGAGTTGTCTGTGTTCAGTCTTGATCACTGAATGGGAACACCTGGGAATCCTGGGGCTGGGGCTCCTCTCCCACAGCTGCAAGGTTGGGCCTGGGCTGGTTTTCATCAGCAGAGGAAGGACCTTATTTGCATATCTCTGACTATACATCAGGCTTGGGGGTAGGTCATCTCAGAGAGGACAGTGCCTCAGAGAAGATGAGAGTGTCCTGGGGGAGTTTGGTGGAAATTACAGCATTCAGGAAAATATGATCTTACTCTGTGATTGTAGCAGGTTGGACACAGTTCTGGTTAAACGATTTTTTATTTATGTGCAAAAACATGTGATGTCATATCTATTGTGAAGATAGAAAACTACACACACAAGCACTATGGGCTGTACAGTGTGTTCATGAGCAAATGCCTGCAACGTTTCTGAGCCTGTGCTCCTCACTGGACCTGATTGCCTACTGGACCAGCTCAAAGACCGAGCTGGACACGCCCGGTGAGGGTGGCAGAACCCCCTTCCTGTAAGGCAAACAAGTGTGATCTTGCAACATTCTAGAGTTACCTAGAGAATGTAAAGAGAACAGATTTCATGCAGGTGCGTTGGAGTCTGAAATTTCACGTGGCATCATATGTGCCTCTAACCCTCCCTGTCTATCAGTTTAGGCAATTGTTTATTTATAATAAATGTAGTCATGCATAACTGGCGTATAATGAACTGCATGTATTTACCACGTTTATTTTAAAAGTGTTCACATATGCATGGACCAGTGCTGCCATCAGCACAACCAACATTGGACAAATCCTTCACACTGAAACATTTCATATTGCTCTTCTCTTGTTCCTCCCTGTTACTCTGTCACTTTTCCCACCCAGACCTCAGGCAACGCATCCATGTTGTGTGAATAAGATAGGCATTAATTTTAATGCTAATTTGTGGGGGTAGTCTTCCAATATATGGACATACCTCAGATTGATTCTGTATTCTCCTGTCAATTGGTATCTGGACTTTTCTCAGTGACTGGCCATATAAAGAAACTGATACTCAACTTGAAGGTGCACAGAACTGTACAAAATTTTGTTCTTTTATTATATGTTTCATGTGTACATCACTATATTTTGACATGCATGCAGTTCAAAGTGATCCCCCCAGAAAAGTCTTGTTACCATCTATCACCCTACAATTGACCCCCTTAATCCAGTTCACACAGCCCCCAATCCACTTCCCATCTGGTAACCACTGATCTCTTCTTTGTATCTATGAGTTTGTTTTTCTTTGTTTTGTTTCTTCCTTTTTTTTAGATTCCAATTTTGTGAAATCATACATGTCTTTGTCCTTTTGACTTATTTCCCTTAGCATAATTCCCATAAAGTTTCATTCATGTCGTCACAAATGGCATGTTTCATGGTTTTCCATGGTTGAGTAGTATTTCATTGTATGTATACAGCACATCTTTATCCATTTATCCATTGATGGCCACTTAGATTGTTTCCATATCTTGGCTACTGTAAATGATGCTACAAGAAACATAAGGGGGCATATATCTTTCTTAATTAGTGTTTTCAGATTGCTGAGAAGGTAAATTGTTGCAGCCTCTATGGGAAAAATATGAGATTCCTCAAAATAATACAAATAAAACTACTATGTGATCCATTCCAGTATTCCACTACTGGGTATTTCTCAGAGGAATACAAAAACACTAATTCAGAAAGTTGTTCTTATTCTTCAAACGAAAACAAGAAAGCCGGGAAATCTGCAAAGTAAGAAATTATCTCCAACACGTCAGAGAAATGAAGACACAGGACAAACAACAAAGAGGAAATCTGGAAAGACAGGTGCCTGCAGGGAGAAGCAGGACCCGTCCATTAGCTCCCCAGGGTCACAGGTTGCCACATGTCATATGATCTAGAAAAAAGATTAAACCAGAAACATTTAATGAATTAATATATGACAGGTATATTCATCAGAGTCTCCAGAGAAAGAACAAATAGGAGATATCTGTCAGACTGAGAGCCTCGAGAGGAAAGCCCTGATCCAATGGGAAGTCCCCTTTCACCCCTAAATGCAACTGCTCCAGGGTCTGGTCTCCGTGTTCAGTGGGTTCTGAGCACCCCCTGCTGGTCATAAGCACCCCCACAGTCCAGCCCCTCCCGTCTCCCTGCTGGGAGGTTTCTGTCTGGGCTCACGCTACTTTCCCCTCAGTGTGTCTTGCACAGTAATACAGGGCCATGACCTCAGCAGTCAGGGAGCTCAGCTGCAGGGAGAATTGGTTCTTAGATGTGTCTCTGGAGATGGAGATGCAGCTCTTGAGGGGTGGGTTATATGCCGTTCCACCACCAGCATTTATTTAACACACCCCTTCCAAGGCCCTCCCTGGGGGCTGCTGGATCCACATCTGTTTGTACCCACTGGTGATAGTGAAGCCATGACAGCAAAGAGGGGTGGCAGGGTCTGCGAGGGCTTCAACAGTCCTGGGCCCAACTCTGCAGGACACTTGCCAACAGGGAAAATCAGTCCCTGTCAGTCACGTGCAGTCACAACCATCAACACAGACCTGTCTGACATCTGAGACACTCACCTTGGAGAGCCCTCACCAGGTAAAGGAGAGGACCCAGCAGTCTTATCATCTTGTAGACCACAGCTCTGCCTTCTTCAGAGACAGCACCCCTGCCTGAGGAGAGAGCTTGAGCTCCCACAGCCCGAGTGGATTTGACCCTAGAGCTGGAACAGAAATTTGATTGTGGGGAGCCCTGTCCTTTCAGGTGAGGAGGGACTAAGGTCGGGCTCAGAGCGTCCGATGGGGCCCTACGGGGCTTTTCTCTTGAACACAAGCAGAGTGTAAGTCTGACATGCGGGAGCACTTAGCCTGTAAGCTGTACTGGAACCTGATGTGAAGACAACCCCACATTTCTGAGCAGAAGAATAAATGCTGGACTAGATGAGGAGATGGCAAAGATGTTCATCTCAGGAATCTTTCAGAAAGATTGTACAAGGGACCAGTGCTATGTCCAGGGACATTCTGAAACCCAAAACATTAAATCTGTCTACAGCTGCCAAGGTTTCATAATTTTTTAAAAATTTTGTTTGGTCTAAACATAATTGCAAAGTGAAAGACAGCTCTTCTTAAGCT